ACGTATACGGAAACACATGCAGTAGCCTTACACATTCACCAGGCGACCTGCAATACCTAAGGTTGTCCCAAGAGCCCTGGTTGCTCAAATTCTTCCACCTCTGCAAAGTATTTGTTTAGACTGAAGGAGAGATCTATTCCCGGATGTAGTTCTGCCCACATGGAGCTGGCTTCAAGGGCAGGGCTGCAGTTCCCTGTGCCAGGAAGGGGACGTCCTGACAGCTACAAATACCTTTTCTTAAATGCCTGCACAGATGGGTGCAAATGCAGTAATCTATCAAGGGGGCCGGGGCAAGAAGAGGGTGAAAATTTCTGCTCTGAACAAAAGTACTTTAACCTTTAGTTTGGCACCACAGAAGTGTTCTCAGTCCTGTAAGAGCAAGTTTTGGAGATCTGGTCCATGGAGAGGGCAGTTTACAGGCCTGCATCTTTCAGAAAAAAAATAATAATTGTAACTCGTGTAGAGAAAGGATGCAAAGAGGTGGGAATAAATGGGAGAGGAAGAGGTTTGCATGTTCTTGGGCAGAAATGCAGATTGAAATAACTGTTAAAAAAGTCCTTAACATGATGAGTCTAGAGTTAATTGGGAGTTTTGCTGGAGTCGAGCGCAGCCCTGTAAATGCAGAGAATTTCAGTTTGTTAATTCGAGCAGGGAAGGTGCTAGAGCACTCCTCCGTGATTTTCTGTCACTAAGTGATTCCAGTAGCTCAGCTGCTCAGATGGTTCTACTTCATGGCACATCACAATTTTCTTAAAGCGAGAAACGGAGAAACTAATCCTTTCTGGAAAAAATGTCTGCTCTGAATGAAGCTCCTCCAGTCGAATTTTTAATTTGGCAAGACACATTCCTATGAATACATCCTCCAGTTTAATGAACGAAATGCTCTCTGAAACATTGTAGATCTGACTAGCAACATCAGTGGATAAAACATAGCCAGTCCCAGAGCAAAAGGGCGGGTAGGTCTTTCCCGGATACTCTTCTCTACTTACGTACCACTTACTCTCTCTTTTCCGTATGGGGTATTCTTGCAGTTTTAAAAAGCCTGTGAAGAATCTAGTGGTCCTCTTTTTCTTTAGAAGAAGCTCAGTGAGGTAAAAAACATTGACAAACACATCTGTGTCTGTTTTCATCACAAAGCTGGACTGGTAACAGAATCTGTGAATCCATTCAATTCCCATCATGGTCTTCAAAGTCAAATTGTAATATGTGTCTGTAAAATTCTTTTGAATAATGTCTTTGTACTTTTGGCTTTCAGCAGCAATCTCAGCCTGCTGGCTGAGATTCACAGTGCTTCCCAGGAGGAAATACGTCACCAGGCGCTTGCCAGCAACTATTCTCTCCTTCCCCCAGGTTTGCCGGATGGCCATCCTGGCATCGACGTGGTGGTATGAGGATGTCACAAGCAGGACAAGGAAGGGTGGGTTCTTATGGCAGTCTATATCCGGGAGCTGCAAGAAGTTTCCTCCGATTCTCCTATAAGTCTCCATGGGGAATATGTAATCTTGGCTGTTTTCACAGAATATACAGTATTCAGTCAAATTGTGGTAAAAAACCCAGAAGCTAACACAGCTGAGCCCTACAAGGCAAAGAAACAGCCTGAATTTTCCGAAATCCATCTGAAAGAAACAAGGAACAGCACATTAAAAACAAACAAACAAAAAAAAAAACAACCCAGCAAACTAGTTCCTTTCCATGCTGTATACCAAACTCCCTGCATAGGGATTTAAGGCCAGGTCATCTCTAATTGAAAGCTACCTATTTCAGGGGACTCACCCACATGCATTTTTCTTAGTATCATTCCCACAAGATGTTCTGCTAACAGTCAAATTCATGCTCATGCTTACTTGAATCTGCCCCCCGTGCCAGCATATTCTCAGAAATCCACACAAGCGTGTCCACTGATACCAGGTTACGCTGCCTGACGCTTCAGGCCTCCTCCCCATTTTTAGCGTCTTACAAACCATGACTTTGACCCACCAGGGCTTTCACAAGCCAGAGAGTGGAGAAGCAGCAGATGTTTGCCCATACCAGATGAGAGAGAATAAGAGCAATAGGTTTTTTTAAATACCATGTTCCTCCATTTGTTTGAAAAGTGCCTGTGCCCCAGAGCCAGCAAGTGCTGGCCAACTGGCAGATCCAGCCAGGTTCTTCCCATCTTCAAATTCTTGGCGTCCTGCAGGGCTCTTACACCAACCCAGAAACTGCTCCTGATCTTGTTGCTGGAGGGGCCATGAGTCACGTACTTGATGTTGGGTCAGCTACTCAGAAAAAAAAAGACAACAGTGAGTCAGATTATTTGGATGTTTCACCTGTTGCAGAGTTTAGGTGACTTACTAGGGCATACTGAGGTGAGACGGGGGTTTCCATACCCTCCTCTCCTTTCTAAATGAAAGAGATCCAAACAATAACAACAATGTTCATTCATTCATCCTTGTAATAGATGAATGTGCTGTGTATCTGGTTAAAAATCTAGTATAAATTTTGAGAGAGAGAAAAATTATTGATATAAACTCAAAAAGGTCAAAGTGCCAAAAAAATTACACATCTTCATAAATTAACCTGGTGAGAAGAGTATAATGCTTCAGTTATTCATTCCATTAACCCATGGGCCCACCAGCTACTGCTTTAGAGCACTAGGATGGGGGAATTTTTACCAGGGGGAAGCACATTCCCTTCTGCTTCAGCCCTTCTTAACGAAGAATTGGATCTGGCTTCCCATCTGAAAATATAGCAAAACGAGTTTTACAATCTCCAGAGCTGTATATTTCAGAGAAATTTGAGCTCTGCCTTCCAACCAAGGATTTTCTACCTAGACTCCCCAAAACCACCCTTTTGCTCAAATTCCCCTTTCTAAGCAATAAAAAGGTTTTGCGTTGAAGGCTTAAGTTCATTGTAAAGTGCAGCCAGGTGTTCCTGGGACTAAATCCAGCTCATTTTACCAGTAAGAATAGTTCCGTTAACTTCAGTTGGTATTGTCAAAAGCATGAAACAATTAGAACTGGAGTCCTGGTTTATTGAAATTCCTCCCACAGTGAAATGCATTTTTGCAATGATTCACTAATGAATTTTGAAATTATTACAAAAATTCACATTTCTTCTGCCACTTATGTTCAAATTAGCTTTATCTTTAAATAGAGTATTCCTCAGATCTGTTTTTTCTTGTATGTATAGCTCACAGTAGTCTTGCGATTAACTTAAAATTTGTTTTAATTAAATACATATGTAAAATTGTGTGAGAATATTCATATGCATATGTGTATATATACACACACAAAAGATTATACAAAAATCTGCTCTGCATCTGTTCTCATGTTCTTCAGTGGCCTGGGAGGAAGCACATGAATATCCTGAAAATAGTGTTTTCAGGAAAGGATGATGTTCTGAGGTTGACAACAGAGCTGCAGAAAGGGTCTGCTTCTGTCACTGGCTCTCACAAGACTTTTTGAGGGTCTGACATTTCTCTGTCACAGGAATTCCAGAACATTACAAACAAAAGCCCTTCAAATACTGAATTAAGAAAGTAATTGAGAGTAGTTTTCTATTAAAACTCATTAAAACCTTTTCAGAAATACTCAAGAGCAAGAAACAATAACGTAACATACTCATCTTACCTGATTTTGACAGAATCAGACTGCTGTGACTTGACCATATTTACTTCTTGTTTCTGGGCTTGATCACTGGTAACACATCCTAAAAAAAAAAAAAAAAAATAGAAAAGGTCCCTGTTCTGGATGACTGGGAAAGCGGCCTCCCAGCGTGTGTTCTGGCATACTGCCTTACTGCCTATCCAGAGCCAGACTGTGTTCCTTTTTCAGTCCATGTGTGAAGAAGTATACGTTATACAGGTATATAAATGCACACACACACACACGCACACACACACACACAAGCACCCAGGCAATGCAAACGTTGCTAAATTGTAAAACACATTTTCTAAATTGTCAAATCACATGTATGTACCTCTATGATTTCAGAGCAGGTTCCTGCCTATCAACAGTGGGTAGGCAGTGGCCTTGATAAGAAAGGCACACTTCACAGAGCGAAGTCTCATTTGGTACTGACTGTGTGGAAGCTGGAAAACAACAGCTTTTGTCATCGGTTTAATTACTAAAGCAAGTTTGAGCTTATCTGGAACTGACAGGAACGGTGTTCTTTTTTTCTCAAATGAAACATTTGCAGTTATCCAAGAGATATTTGTGGAGGGTTTTAGAGGAGGGAAAGCTTGCAAGGACCCAGATCACACCAGTACCACTTTGAGCGTTCCCAGACTGGTGTATCAGCTCTCTCCGCATCCCCAGCTGCGTGTAGGAGGGAACCATCCAGATAACATGTGGCACCTGGCTCTGGGGACTCACCCGAGCTGCAGCTCGTCACCATGACCTCCGTCCCTGCAGATCCACACAAGCCCCTGAACCAGGTGCAGTGGAGGAGTCTTAGCCTCCCCATTTGTATGGGACTTTGCCCTGTCTTCTCTTGCAATCCCATTTCTCCCCTGTTTCACTCTCACAACAGTCTTTCCCCAGTATAGTGCCAGTTCCCCAAACTTCCCTCTCCGGGTAAGCTCAGCGAACATGTAGTGATAGGACAAGGGGCAACAGCTTTAAACTGAAAGAGGGCAGATTTAGATTAGATATAAGGAAGAAATTTTTCTCTCAGAGCATGGTGGGGCACTAGAACAGGTTGCCCGAAGTTGTAGATGCCCCATCCCTGGAGGTGTTCAAGGTAAGTTTAGATGGGACTTTGAGCAGTCTGGTCTAGGGGAAGGTGTCCCTGTCCAGGGCAGGGCGGTTGGAACTAGATGATCTTTAAGGTCTCTTCTAAGCCAAACCATTCTATGATTCTGTGCGGGAGTGCGCAGAGATGTCTCATCTGATGGCCCTGTCTCTAACTTTTTCTTCTTCAGAGCTCAAGGAGAGAAGAGTTGCCCCAGATGCCCTGAGACCAGAGGGAGCCCATGGTGCGATGGGGGAGGCTGTTGGAAAAGAAGCGTTTGCACAGCTATGGCCTTGGTGTCCCAAGCACCCAAGTTTGGCAATATGTTATGAGGTTGGCATTTACTGGAAGAACAACAAGGGAAAGGGTGACAGAGAGAAGACCAGCTTCCTCTTGCTGAGGCCATTTTTCTTATAAAATCATCAATTTCCTTCTTGTTATCAGGTGAAAAATAAATAGGGAAAATTTTGAAAGTTAGAAAGCACTTTATAATAATACAAGCACGCTGGTTCCTTGGACCACTTAAGTTGACATATCTGGGAATTAAATTGCTCTGATATTGCCTCCTTACCCCTGGGATGCTGAGCACCTGTCCTGTCCTTCACCCCACCTGCGAGCAGCAGGTTTAGCTTCCTGGGTGAAGCAAATGCTCTATATCTTCTACTGCCTGGGAGAATGGCTATCTGAAGGATGAAGGACGGCTGGAGAACAATGGCTTCTGTCATGTTTAAACAGGACAACATGGCTGTGACCACATTTAGCAAAACTGTCATCATCCAACTTAAGTTATCTTGCTCTACAGCAGAGATACGAGCATAGGTTAGGTGTGACAAGGCCCATGGTTTATAAATTATCTGTCACTGTATCGTTCCTCCTTTGCCTGCATCTGACAAACAATACAGTCTGTGATTCACGATTTCCAGCCTGCATGCACGTATCTCCATGGAACAGCCCTGGAGATGTTAATATGAAGTGTTAATATTAAGATGTTAATATAAGTCTGCAGGAAGTTGTCCAGAAAGTAATGGAGACTTACTAGGAACAAATCTCTTTTCTAGCGGTCATTTTGAACAGCATGCAGTATTTTTGCATCAAAACAAATCTTTCTGGTTTTGTAGAAAATCCTTTTGCGTGAAGTTTTATTTCAGTTTTCTGTCTAATCTGAGGCAGAAAATGCAGTTTGCAATTCTCAAAACCTTTTCCCATCTCCTACGGCTCCAACTGAAAAATGTTTTATGTAGGGCATTGCCAAAAAATTACCTGCTTGGTGTCCTGGAGAGCGGTTGGTTTAAACGGACCAGCATGGTGTTTCGTGGCTCTGCGCATATCCAGAGGAGGTTTGCACAAAAGGGTGGACCCAAGCAGTGTGGGCAACAGGAGCCTGCAGCCTGGCGCTCCTCTCGCACACACCTGAAACGAACACATGAAGAAAAGACGGTGATGGTGAAGGTCTGTGATCCAAATCAGTCAAACTGCAGCCCTCTGCTTTGCAAGTACCTATTTCCACCAGTGGCATGAACTTCCTCCCGTGTTCTGCCGTGGTAAGCAGATGGGCTCTAGGGTCTCTCCATTCACACCACTGACCCTTGTGTAACTCTTCGTGTTGCACAGGGCAATGGTAACTTCTGTGACGAAGCCTAGTTATTCCATCGAAATTAATCTGATACCTCCTTTAGGTCTGTTAATGAGTATAATTATCTAAACGGCACCAAGAGATCAAGACTAAATGCCCTATAGATCAAGAAAAGCAATCTGGCTTGAGGCAGAGAGAGGTAAGTAGGTCTAGAGTTCCCCTGAGAAACAAATGCAAAATATCAATTTAGAGAAATAAAGTTTTCTTCATTTTTCTAGGACAAAGCTACAGTCATGCCACTGAGTTCAGTGGGCGATTGGCATTGGCTTTGCATTGAGGTTGCACACATCGGGCAGGGAATGATCGATCCGACTATAAATGACCAAAGATCATTTGACCATTTGCAAGAGTCCCCGCTTCGCAGACAGAGACACAGCAGCTGCGACAAAGCAGACCCAAAAGTAGAGGCATGATTTAAGTGCATAAACAGGAGTTACAACCTCAAATACTGCAGTTAAAGTTGGCAACGATATTCTCATTTTCATTTCCTAATATTCTAAAGTAACATGAGCCCTGGTATAAGTACTAATAATATCTGCTAACTTGATTTTTGTTTCAGTAAAGCCTCTAAATTGCTTTCTCAGAAGCTCAGCAGGACATGAAGAGGAATTAAGTGCACATAAACAATAAGAAAATATCAAGTACCGCAGGAAACATTTATTTTTCCCTCAATGCAAGCATTTCAGAGGAGCAGTCGCCAGCTTGGAGCTCTCAAAGATGACATCTTTAGCCAGGTTTCCCCCTTAGCCCAAGCTCAGAAGTCAGGGAGGGATCATCAGGTGCCTCTGACCCTCCAGCTTTTGTCTGTC